TGAAAAGCAGTCGACGAAACGACCTGTAGCGAATCGTACGTCCCCCTTACCTCGTTGTCCTTGTAGGGACCAGTTTCTGGTCCCAGACCGGCTTACGGACGAATCCCGACATCTTTAACGCGTGTCCCGTCTAGAATTATAATACCATATTTTGCTGACAATAAACGCGTTGCTCTATCGAAAATTATTCTACGTACTTTGGCCGCAACGACAACCCGGGCTCGTCGGGGTCACAATTATGGTAAAAATAGACCGATCTCCTACCAAGACGAACAGCAACCGATCAGCTGGACCATCGAATGTGACTTTCGAATTCGTTAATGTTTAACATAAAATATTTGTCGCTTTTTCGATTACAATCCCGAGATTTCTTCTTGCGAGAACTAAAAGGTTCTTGCAACAAACTTGTTGCCCAAGAGAACCACGTTAGGATATTCTGCTTAGAGAGGAGAATTTATTTAATGCTTTTTTAACTTTGAGAACGTTTTACGTACGTTTTAGAGTGCATTTGGTAAGTTTTTCAATTTATTTCACACACAAGTCTTTGAGAACTCTGTCAGTTATTCCGAATACACGATCGGTATGTGATCATCATTTCGTGATGGTTCCAAGGCATCCCGGACCTCCGTTAACGCACCAATCAGAAGTTATTATTGAAAGACGGGAGCCGGGATGCAGAAGTCGCCCTTTCTACTCCTGAACGCCGCCATAACGAGTTTGAACTGGGTCGAGGTTCGCCGAAGCATACTTTTGTAGAGGTCAGTTTGCATCCCTGCTGGAGCAGAGCTGTGTCAGGGACGACACTCGAGCTTTTACGCCACTCGAATCATGTTTTTCTTCGTCAGTCTACTTTTAGTACCACATTCTTCGACTGCATTCTTGTATTCAGAATGCTTGGCGATGTTGGATGACAGGATTGCTAGACTGGGAACCGACTTCGAATCTTTTATTCATCGTTTTTATAATTCCGGTAGAGTCTTATTTATCCATACTAACCGTGGAAGGTACTGTACAGACAATCGAATAATTTCATGTTCTCGAGAAGAAAGATTATATACGTGGGCCGTGCAAATATAAACAGGAATTTTTGTACTCAATTTTATTGGTGATAGATATAAATACAAATGGAGTGCTTTTATTTCTACGTATTAGGTTGTCCGAAAAGTTTCTTTCGTGAGTTGCATTCGATTATTTTCTGTGGCAGTGTTTATATAAATAGACGATCTATTAGGTTGTCGAGAAAGTTCGTGGCAATTTTTAAGAAAACTTCAAAGGCACATTTGAATTGTAATATATATTTATTGAATTACATAGGTGCCATTTTGTTCCACAACCTTTTTTCCACCTTTAAAGGGATGTACACATATATATATGTTATTTGCTACCAGCCATTTCGACATATACAGACCTGCATCACCTATCAAAAATCGGCATGGACTTTCCGGACAACCCAATAATTTCTTAGACATTGATGCTGTAACAGTAATGAAGCGAAATGAATCGTACACAGTTCAGTAATGTAACATAAAACATACAATATTGTGTATATTTTAATTACTAATAAAACGAAAGAAACTTTTCGGACATCCTAATACTTTACTTCAACAGAATATACTTTCTTCGCCAGATAGGAAGCTTCCTAATCCCCTTAGGAAAAATAGCAATTGGTTGGACCAGTAACCAATTGTACAAGTACAGTTGAACCGCTGCAGCCCTCTTAACCCTTTCACCTACACGCTATCTCCCGATTGCTGGACCCATATTTATCTATCCTCGATAAAGCTGCATTAAAAAAAATCCGGTGTATGTTTGAATGACCCTCGCATTTTGAACAATATTTTACTCTAATGATATTTTTCCCACCGTAAATCTTTTTACCACTCGCTGCAGTAAAAGTAAAGTTTTAACAAAATAAAATAAAATTAAATTAAAAAATAAAATAAAATAAAATAAAATAAAATAAAATAAAACAAAACAAAACAAAACAAAACAAAACAAAACAAAAAAAATAAAATAAAATAAAATAAAATAAAATAAAATAAAATAAAATAA